AAATTAATTTTAGTTATATATATATATATATATATATATATATATACAGTTAAATTACCCAAAAATCATAAATTACTATACCAATACCACAGAATTCTATTAAAATTTATCAAGCTGAGTAACTAAGCTGTATTTCAGTCTAAAAAATATACAATTTTGAGCAGACTGAAGACATAACCTACCTCCTTGAAAACTTGGTTTGAATGAAAGAGATAGCATCCAAACATGTTAAAATGGCTAAGAAAGCCACTAGGGAGACATTTTGAGTTTTCGATTGGTTATTCATGTCATATATAGAAGTAAATGTATACAAAGGAGCATTTCCAAAAATGGAAAGAGGTTGGCAGGGTGCCACTGTGTTTGATTTATTACATGAGCAATATCTTTGCAAATAGAAGAGATAAGAGGTTTTTATTTTATATTCTAACTTGTCAGTATCAGTAATTTGAGTTTCTAATTCATATGAAACTGTAGACTTAGTATTTTGACTTCACAAATACCTAATTTGAACAAGTGATACATTCAACATACCATGTGACACACAAAAATCGATGTTTATCTATGTGTTTTTTTAATATTTACTTTTAAATTAAGAAATTGAGTAAGGTATAATATTAAAATTTGAATTATAATCTACAGTTTGATACCAAACTTATTGACATAAATTCATGAAATAGTAGTTCGATAAAATTTTGAATGCGAGTGTTTGTTTATTAAACTTAACCATTACCTTCATAGCTTGAGCTTTTTTGTGAAGAGTATATGAAATGGTTTAACAGTAATGTTGTAAATAATTGATACTTGGTGAAACTCCATAATTATAGAATTGAGGAAAAACAAAACACTTGTATAACACCACCAACAACAAATTCTTAAGTAATGTTTTTTAATCTAAAGGTAAAAACTTTAATAAACTTAGCAAAGACATTAAATACAAAATATTTTATCAATTTTATTTGAAAGAAAAACATGATTTAACCCTTTCCAGACAAGTCATGGGTCAAAGGCCATGTCATTGCATTTGTTGAAAAAAAAGGCTTAATTTATGAAGGAAACACCTAAGTCCTCTAAAAATTTAACACAACTGAATTGTATTTCAGTTTCTTACTTGGTCAGTTACAACAGACAAAACTTCTTCTATAGTTGATGACAGCATGGCTCCTGGAGGTGTCGAGACAGGTTCTTCAAGTTTAAACTTTGTTTCGTTACTTGCTGCTTTCAAGCCAGAGAAAAAAAAATGGAGAAAAACATAAGACAGATGCAATACATAGGATATGAACACAAAATCTAACATAAATTTTGCATACAATTTTTTAAGGACTTCTAAGAGCAATTTTAATGTTTTCTATAAAACACACAAAAAAAAACACACCAAGTTAATCAACAAATCACACTTCACAAAATAAAAGTTTTGAGACAGCTTGAATACCAAGCTGTCTCAAAACTTTAATTTTCTGAAAAGTGGGTTCCTTGTTATCAATTTTCACACTTCAGAAGTTTCACAAGAATAACAAGAATAATTCTTCAGAATTATTTTCACATTCAACAAAAAGGATTCATTAATATCACATGTGAACTTCAAAGTATGTATTGTACATAAAATAACTTCAAAGTAGGTATAAGCAGAACAAAAGAACAAGGTGTAGTTGTGACTGTTACCATAACTGAACCATACTCAATAATGTTTAATTGTGAACTATTTGATGTAATGGGACCAGTGAAGTGAGTACAAGAACTGTTTTTGTTTAAAACATATAGAAAAACAAATTAAATTTGCTACATAAACATGCTCTCTCACTTACTTAGTTAACTCACACAATTCATGAAACTTATATGTAAAACCTTTGAATATTGCACAAAAAAAAAGTTAATCCATGCACATGGGTTTTTGTAATTTGAAACTTAATATCTTGATCATTTAATTGACAGGTCTGTTTGTTTTTCTGTTTTAGAGCAAAGCCACATTGAGCTATCTGATCCCCAAATGTTGAGCTTGTTTATGAATGGATGAACATAATATTATTTGAATGGTTACAAATATTGATATATATATATACAGTAGTCCCTGTTAGATACGATCGACCTATCTGCCATGATAAAAAAAAGTCACACCTGACAGGAAGTCGTTATTAAAAGGATAATGAACGACAGACTTCCAGCTGTGCCAGTTGTTATTCTCAGGGGTTGAACATAATGGTTTATGTACTGTATAGCAAGTTGGTGCACTGTATAATAATAGTTATGATAGATAACAGTTCAATAAAGATAACTTAAAATTTGTTTGTGTTTTATGTAAAATAATTTATTCATCAATCATATTTCTTTCATAAACATCCATGTATCACATTTTTATTACATACACATTAAATATTACAAACTGACACAAAATTTATTTCATAAAAAATCATCCACCTTCGTTTGTCTTGCACATTTAACAGTCACTCTGAACATTCACGAGTCTGACAGTGTTAGTTTTCAAAACACAATTTTAGTATCATCATTTTATAAAATAATGTGCAATAAATGTTCAGAATTCTACATCAGAGAAACAAGAAGAAAATTGGAAGCCAGAGTCACCGAACATAATAAAAAAAACATCCCATATTTACCACCATTACAACTCTAAAAATCCTTAGTATAACTAAATAAAACACTGTAATTTAAACAAAAAACAAACATTGGAAGCCAATTATCTTGAACAAAACAGCCACACCCTAAACCAAAATTTCACCTTGAAACTTGGATCCTTTGATAGAAGTTCAGAATAGGAACCATTTTGCGAATTTAAAATAACCAGTAAAGAAATAAAAATAAATATCTTAACTAAATTATTGCTAGACTCTATCCAATACCTAATACGGTAATCCACTCTCAATACAAATACTTCATAAAATGTAATATGTTGTATTAAAACAATTTCAAGTTGATTAAAAATTCTCTAATTTTCATGTTTCGTTTATTTTGTTGCTTTCATCACAACTTTGGTCTATGTCAGTGTCCAAGTCATGTTTCTATATCAACACTTCGAGCCTTCTTCTTCTTCACCGTGACTTTCTGTTTTAAGCTTAAGACGTTTGCAGCTTTCCTGGAGGCCTTGAAGCATTTCATTAGCCATGCTTACCACACAGATTAGTTGAGTCTGTCACTCAACAAATTGTGTGTTAATAATCTTCACACCCCACTAGCAAATCCTAATCAAGTTACTTAACGTCTAGGCCACTAGCTCAAGAATCTACTACACAGACTAAAAGAATAACCCTTAATTCCATGATGAGGCAAAGACAAACAACAGTTTCTGACCACCTCTGGATACCTTTCAAGACCTGAAAGTTTTTAAGATAAAATACCTACATTTATGTACCAAGGAGTTTGACTTGAACACCCCATGGAACCAAGATACATGTACTAAGCTGTGAAGCAATCTCTGGTCATGTGACCTCTTTTTGTTCCATACTGTATATACTGTATTCACATGTCTCTGTAAATTACATTATTGATATGAAAAACATTCATTACAGAGAGGTGGTTATTCAACCTTCTGCCCAAAAATCACAGTTGTATGTCGCATCTGTCAGGAAGTTGTTTGTGCGAGGTCAGATCAACGTAAAATCGTTCGTGCACAGAAAAAGAAGTTGTATTTAAAAGGTAGTCATTATTGGGAGGGACCGTATCCACCATATACACACACACATACACACTGCTTTTCATACTTAAAAAGTTTTGAAATCACGAACAAATAAATGTGTAATCACTTTTGCAAAAACATAGTTTTCAACCTCAGTATTATGTTCACTTCATAAATATGTTAAACATAACTTAACCAACATAAGTTTAGACAAAAGTACTACAGTTGTAATTACTCCTCATATTGGACAGGTTGTTTTGGATTATTTGGTAAAAAAAAGGATGCAAAACCCAGTCTAATTAATGATGTTTGATTCCTTTGATTAGAAGTTTAACCCTATGTGTAAGGTAGGGAGTGAATGGGTAAAAATGTGCATGTCATTACCTTTTCACAGAGTTACATTCAAAATTTAATCAAAACTTTTATCACCGTATGTCAATAAACTTGGTCTCAAAACAGTTTATAACTCAAATTTTACTTTCTTAAATTCAAAAAGAAATATTTAAGAAAATTAAGAGTTTTCACTTCTCTGTATCATGTGGCACTTCTTCACTCCAAACTGCCCATTCTGAATTTTTTTCTGCTCCATATGATCTTTAAGTTTGGCACAAATTACACACTTATACTATAGATATTGCTAAGCCATAATGTAAATGTCTAGCCTTCAAGCTTTTTGCTTTATTGAGATGTTAGTACAAGAAAGTCAAACCCACATGTCATACCCTTCATATCATATCCTATCTTTCAAAAAAAATGTCAATAATTCTCTCTGACATTTGCTATTGGGTTACTTATAATTAGAAAAAAGAGAAGATTCTATTTTAATGAATTTCTTATGAGGTTAGCTTGTTCAGCCAACAATTTTTGAAATACTTATTTGACATTGTTGAGATTGACTTGATCAGCTAACTGGAATTTTTTTAACCCTTTTATAACTTAGTTAGAAAGCCAGTTAAATATAATAGTAGTTTTAAGACATTCTATTTTTCGTGCATGATAATATTTTGTGTTCTACACTACATATTTGAAAATAAAAATATGTTTTATCATACATCAACATAATTAAAAACATAGGGTCAATGTTTTTTTTCTTCCACATGATATTGAATTTGACATTGAAAATTTCAGATTTCATCCAATTTTTGTGGTCAGCTCTACTCAGTAAATATTAGAACAGGCAAAAAGAAGTCAGGATATCAACAATAAATGCAGCTTGAGAAAATTAATTTTCCCTTTATTTACTTTGCCAAACTTTGATTAAAAAATTTGCAAAATCCTGTGTTCTACTATTAATGATATTCAGTACACTAAAAAATACATTTGACGCAAGTGTTAAGGTTGAACATACGTGTACTTTTATACAATCAAACACAAGCAGACATCAAAATATATTAAGCACCAACATTATCATACCTTGTTCACTGCCAAGTTTGTTGCTACTTAAAATGGATGTTCCACCAAATGCTGAATGAACAACACTACTCAAGCGGGAATGCAACTCGGGTTTACTTGCAGCTCGGATCAATTCGGAACTAATGATCTTTTCCGTCTTTTCTCGTGCTGCCTGCTCAACCATCTTTTGAGACAACACTGACAGCTTAGCAAGAGCTGCAGCCAGTTCTTCAGTGGCAAGAGCATGTCTTGCACAATCCTAAGGATTAAAAATAAGCAAACATCTTTAACAAGTTATTAAAATACAGTTAGTTCAACAAGCTTATTTTGAAAGTCAGGTAAGTAGCATGAAAAAAAATTGCATCATTCAAAATTATTCTGACCCTTGTACTTTGCAGTTTTTTTGAGGCTCTATTTTAATTGATAAATTACAAAATAAGACTTTTCTTTTATGACAATGATATACCCACTTAAAACACTAAGTTCACAATGATCATAATTAACCTGGTAAAACGTTGTACTTTTAATTATGACAGAGTATTTCCTTTCATCAGATCATAATTCTAACAAGCAAACATTAAACAGGAATTTTTAACATTAAAAACAACTAAGGACATTCTTTTTTTTTACTCAAAACTTACAACTTTCTTCTCTCAATACACAAGTTGAGCTATAGTTAAATATATGCCAAATAAACTGAAAATCCATTGGATTATGAAGAGTACCATTTACACATGCAAGTTTCGGGATAATATAATTCACTATTTTAAAATGCTTTTTGAATTTTTCTAAATCTTGAAAATGTACCTAATTTCTCTTCTGAACAGTATTAAAATCTTATTTTGCAGAATCAGCATGTAAATAATGTAGAACTAGATACAGTACAATATGATGTTACTGAAGAACAAGAAAAAAAAGTTCAAAATACATTTTGTAGCTTATCTCACCTGCCAAGACATTGCTCTTTCTGTGAGACACTGCAGAGCTACTCCTTCAGTCAGCTTGACTGGTAGCTTCTGCAATGACATTACAAGTGAGAGGATTGTTTCTAACCTTGGCCTCCGTGACCGAAGACACATGGGACATAGGAACTTGAAGTCTCGTGCAACATTAACTACTGCTGCTGATGAGAAGTTCTGCTGTTTCTTTGTATGCACTGATTTAGGTAGAGGGACACAAGTGGCTGAGAACAATGAGAAAATAAAGTGTTTTAAACGAATATCGAAAATATTACTTACAGAAGGAATATGTGTATGTGTGAAGCTACACAATAATGCTTGTCTCACTGAAACATAAAACTGAATAGCCATGAAACTAGTGTATAAAAAATAATTTGTCAAATAAATACTACCTTAAACATAGAAAAGTGAAGGAGCAAAACGAAAATATAAAAAACAAGAATTTCTATTTATAGCATAGGTCATCCTCAAAGAAGTGCTATAATGTCAAGTTACCTACATTTTTTTTTAATTTTGAGTGTTAATTGTGCATTATAAGAATGATGTTCCAGGTACCTTTAAAACTACTTTCTCTCTCTCATTAATGGTGCATAATCTGATAGCCGTGTTGAAGTACTGTTGCTTGACACTAATGTTAATCTGACAGTCATGTTGAAGTACTGTTGCCTGACACTAATGTTAATCTGACAGGCATGTTGAAGTACTGTTGCCTGACACTAATGTTAATCTGACAGTCATGTTGAAGTACTGTTGCCTGACACTAATGTTAATCTGACAGGCATGTTGAAGTACTGTTGCCTGACACTAATGTTAATCTGACAGCCATGTTGAAGTACTGTTGCCTGACACTAATGTTAATCTGACAGCCATGTTGAAGTACTGTTGCCTGACACTAATGTTAATCTGACAGCCACATTGAAGTGCCGTTACCTGACACTAATGTTTTCTTTGTAACAAGCTTCTGAGAAAAACTGTGAAGTTAAGTTAAGACCCCCACACCTTGTAAGTGATATCAGTCGAAGTCCACTTGAAATGCATCAGCTGTCTTGACAGATGTGTGATTGAACAGAATTGCTGTGATTCCAGTTTCTTTGGCCATCATTTGCATGAAAAAGATAAAAATTCCATTGTTTGTCTGGAACCTTATGAACATTTGGCTTTGGTTAATTTTAAATCCATATTTATTATCTTATTAATGGTACCAGCTTTATCCCAATGGAATTTTTGGTTGAAGCATTCTCTTGTTTATTCTAAAGACATGCTATCTTGAACATGTTTTTGCCTCTGAGGAGAATGTATGAGGCTCCTTTATTCAAAATGGCATGCTCTTCTGGCTCTATATCATTTAACAATCTTGCTACATGAATATCCTTCCTCAGAAATGGCTGTGACAAATTTATACTAGTAGTATTGTAACGTCAAATTGTTGAGAATTCACAATGAACCAAATATACAGTTGCTAAACATGCTTTCTATGGCTCACAAGTGTGGTGAAATGCCACTACAACAGTATATGTAAATGTTCTTATAACATACAAACAATCCTTTATATATTCTTGTAAAAATCTTGGGTCTCACTTCGAACATGTACAAAAACTTGTTATAGGTGGCAGGAAGATCCATCATTAGATTTTTTAAACTGGACAGTACAATCTACAACAAATTCTTCTGAATTAAGACCTTTATTATACTTGAACTTAACTGGACAATCTAGACATTTTCAACAAGAGTTATTTTATTACAAAAGCTTTCGACTCAATCATTACACGAACATTTGACAGGTGAGGCTTTTCAGTTTGTATCAATTAATTTCTGGTATAATTGATTTTATTCATGTTATGAGTATAAATCAATTATAAAATGTTAACATATAATCAATAAACACACACTTCACTTGTTACACAGCACTTCCAAAGGACTTATCCTCTACAACAAGTTCACAACATTTTACAACCACTTTTAATATTATAAACAGACCAAATGATCCCATCAAAAGTTCTAAGTTCAATTATGTTTGTTTCATTTGATCATAATTACAATTATAATCCCTACAAACTGGACTTTAAATTAAAAACCATTTTATCTATTTTTCTAATTATTTCCAGATTTTCAAGCAATAGAACAACAAGGTGAAATCCATCTGTCTGTTTTGAAATCCATACTTACAAGGTACCTTGTTCAAGCATGCAAGTCAATATTGAAAAAAAAACATTTGATTTTGCTATCAGAACTACACCCTTCGCAACTTTAGCAATGTGATGGTGTGAAAAAAGATAGTATGAATACAAGTTTACATCCATAAAGAAGATTTATAAAATAATCTACATTTCAGCCAGTTAAAACTAAGTGTACAAAGTTGAAACATCCTGCTCAGCATTTCTAAAGAAGACAAAACTAATTTCAAATATCCACAGGTTTTCTAGTTATTGTACCTATAATTGTGATACATGGCTTAAAGAATTAGCTGTCAGAGAAAGTTGATAATTTAAAGCACTTTCAAAGAGCAGACACTTCATAATGTATTAAATGGGTATTAAAATAAGAGAACTATTCAATAATAATACTATTCTGGAGTAATGGTAATTAATAATAAAGCAGGGGGAACAAGAAATACAAGATGTCAGTTTACAAATTATTTAATATTCACAATTCACTTTATATTTCAAACAAAGACATTGCACAAATATATTTTTAATTAATACTATCATTTTTGCTACAAACTATATAAAGGTTTTGTTTTAACCACGTAACCTAAAGAAATTATTCCATGACTGAAATAATTTACAAAGAAAAATAATTAATTACATCTAATAGAAATATGACATTTAATTATGGTGTAGATTTAAGGGTTAACACTGTTATACTTTAAAGAGTTAACATGACATCCAAAACTATTCAATGCTACCTAATTAGAAAACAAAACAACAACTTATTACATCTAAGTAAAACTTAGTGTTTCAAATATGAGATAACTTTCTGTAAATTGTTCAGAAGTTAAATGCAAAATGACAGCACCAAAATTATTGCAGCTATTGTTAACACTTAAGACCTGTAAGAAATACATTGCACACAGAGATTTTTTTTATTACTGCCACAAATTCAAGATCAATTAAGGAAATGAGAATCATTACTGAAGAGCCAATATTACAATATTTAAAACAGACAAAACAGAAAAACTAATACTTACTATGAAACCAGTCCTTGCATAGTTCACATTGAAGCATGTAATTGGTCAAGGGTCTCTGACATACGCAGTAACGAGTGTCACCAGTATCCTCGACTCGTTTCTTGATATTTTTGTTCCGCAGCTCTCTCATTGCTTTGAGCTCTTTTTGTTCAGCCAACTTAAATGCAGCAACCTGGAAAGAAACATGGTTGATACTGAACTGCTCAGGTCAATTTCAAGCACTTTTCAAGAACTTTCTAAGCAGTCTCAGAATGTTTTTCAAGCACTTTTATGGAAGCTAAAATCTACATCAAAATCTATCAGATTTCACTGAAATCTTATAAACTTCTATTCATTTATTCAACATATGAATGCAAACTAAAACTAAAAGAAAGATTTTATTTATTGTGCCCAACTCTGCAACATGCATTAAAGTTAGATATATCGTTATATTCTGCTATTATAATATTTTCAAGCACTTAAAATTCCATTCTTAATTTCAAGGACTTTCAAGGATGTGTATGCACCCTAAAGAAAAAACCTTCACAGTTTCTTCTTGTGAATTACTTCTCATGGTGTTTTGCATAAAAAGTGCCAGATAATAAAAGTCCTTTCCAACACAATGCATGCAGACAATACCACAAAACATTTAAAACTGTACTAAAAATAAGTAGACATAAAAATAATATCAGCATCATCATGAAATATGTCATTTTAATATTTGGTAAATTCTTTAATCTTAAAACAATTTTAGTTAAACCGACAAGTTAACAACGTGTCGCATGCTATAAAGTTTTTAGCTGCTATGTAAGCTAGCATCAAGCTTGATAAACAACTTCTAATCATTTTTAGGCAACTTTAGAATAAAAAATTTGTTTCAGATATTTCTCATATCTATTATTTATGAAAATAAGTACAGTGTCATTTTTTGAATGAATTACATTCTGTGAAGTATAAACTCTTGAATTTTTACACTGCCTGCCAGAGCAGAAATGTGATTCCCAAATGTTTAAGTTGGTAAACTATTCTTCTAATCATTTTTAGGCAACTTTAGAATAAAAAAATTATTTCAGATATTTCTCATATCTATGCTTTATGAAAATATGTACAGTGTCATTTTTTGAATGAATTACATTCTGTGAAGTATAAACTCTTGAATTTTTACACTGCCTGCCAGAGCAGAAATGTGATTCCCAAATGTTTAAGTTGCCTCATGGTTTTTCCTTTGTCATCTGCTGCACTCATTTTAATGGAGTCATTCTCTTACTTCCAATAATTATGAAATTACAGTACTACTTTGTTCACTAGGTTTGTTTGTTTCCAAATATTTGTGTAAAACCATCCAAGGGACAATCCACACTAACGATTCTTATTTTGAACCAATAGGCTAAAGGGAAGACAGCTAGTAAACAACACCCACCACCATCTCTTGGGTACTCTTGTTTGACTGAATAGTGGGATTTGGCAATAACCCTTATAACATACCCACAGCCCCAAAGTTCGATTTTTTAGTAGTTTGGTAATAAGAGAAAGATTGGCCCCAGATTCATGGTCAGCATGATAACCAGTGGGTCATGCACAACAGCATTCACATTAAATTTAAATTATATCTAATTTAAAACAGGCAATTGTTGCTTAAGTCTGATGTTGCACTTTTTTAGAAATTTAATTGAAAACATCATCATACTTTAAAATTTAACATCTTTATCAGTTGAACTGTTAGTTTTTTGTACTCTTCTGTAATGATTTTTTCCCAAATGACAAAGTTTACAAAAGATTATTTAAAACAGCCAAGAAGCTGGAAGTTAAAAACACTAACATGCAACCCTCTTTGTGCTACTTCCAATCTCTTAAAAAGGCATCAATAGGCATCACATTTCCCTCCAAACAGATGTTTAGGTCACAAATGAGCATGTGTGGTTCACAAAAATGTATGTGTACACCAACCGATTATCTAAAAATTTTATAGAATACTTTGTCAAAGTTTAGTAGGCCAGGAAAGAATTTCATACATGACTGAAGTCCCCACAATCAGGAGCTTCGAAATTCTCCTCAACTAGAACTTAATGATAATTTAACTAAATAACAAACAGAAAAATGGGATAAATATGTACAGTTCCTAGCCCTGATGAATGAGTACTATATATTATTATCAAATGACTAAAGATAAAGTTCCAAATTAATTCCTAGTCTGACAGAAAGAAAATGCTGTGTACATTTGAGATATAAACTCAGATCTGTTTTTTAAATAAGACACAAATTTCTTCTTCAAAATATGACATTCTTTCAGAGCAAGAAAAAGAAGTCAAATGCTAGGAATTTTTAATACAACAGTTAAAAGGAGAAAGTAACATTTTCAGTTCACAAACATAAAAAGTATTTTCACTTTTTTTTTCAGAAAATTGAAAAACAAAATTTCATGGATTAAATCTACTTAAGTATATTTCTAAAATAAACAACATATATACATTGAAAAATAGTTTCCTTATAGAATTTACAAGCATTTTCTTCTGATGTTACATAGTGTTCTACATTCATTTTCTATTATTTAAACAAAGAAACAGCACAGAAAAAAAAAATTGCCTTTTCATCAGGGAAGTTACTCACAGTCTTCACTGAATGGAATCCCTAATCCACAGCAATCATTCTAGCATATTTTTAATAAATTCAAAAATTTCACAGATGTTATGTTACATATTCAAGATGTATCGTCTACTTGGTCCTAGTTAAGTCACAATTTTAAAGTTAATAAAACAATGCTCTGGGTTCTACAACTACGCAAGTTCTTCACAACTTACAATTTCAGCAGGATCTTTGCTACTCTCTAACTTTGTATCAAACAAGTATGATTCCTCTTTATCACGTTCACTACTTCCTTCTTTGGTTTTCTTTTTTTTATTCTTATGGAGAAAGTGTGAGCCCACATCATTCCTGGGTGACAAGACCTTTTATATACATTGAAGTATAAAAAGGAAGTTTTCACATTCC